CCGTGCAGCGATACGTTGTAGGATGTACCCATCCTGACAGAAATATGTTTTTTTTTCGGGAAGCGTGATCAGTGTGCAGCATAATTTAACAAAACTTTAAAAACTTCAGGATGCCTGCTCTTGAGTGCACTTATAGGAAGAGTGTGCATCAAGATTATTTTTCAACTCCAGGCTTATTTAAGCCCCAGCAGCCGTTGTATTTGCCGTTAAATTTTTCACTGTGGAAACTGTATGCTTTTTGGTAACGAAAACCACATGATCTCCTGTGAAATTGAAAAGGAACCACATACTGCGAAGCTAATAATCAGATACGGCTGTTCCGAACCCAGCTCTTTCTGCTTAGGATTTGAGCATTTCCAAATTTTTCCGAAGGAACATTTGTGTTCAGGTTACCACTTCAGGCGCGTGTTTCTTTTCATGCAGGCAATTGGGAGATATTGGTGCAAGCCACTTCCCGGAAGCCTTGGGAGTAAATGGGATACGCTAATTCATGAAATGATAACCAAAATTCGAAAATTAGTATTTTCCTTCCGTACACGGCGGGCAGCACAGGGATTTTACATGGCAAGAAAAAGTTTTTATGTGGGCTGCGTTCAAAAATATCCGGAAAGCAAACATTTTCTGAAAACGAAGCAAACCCTTCTGCAAGATTTACAATCTTTCCTGCCTGAAATATTATGCAATGACAAGTCAACCTTAGTGGTTCTTTACAATTGAATTTGGGTTCACACTTCTTTGCATTGACCAGCTACTGAAGTGAGTTACTTCGTTTTGCCGGCCTGTCCATCAAATCTAACGGGTGGCTAATCAGTTTCTTTTTATAAGATAGTTGTAGAAGCGCTTAAATGTTTTTGCAACACGTTAGTCGCCACCTGCCATGACCTCTTGCGTACCAATTTTCGCATTTGCCTTTTGTAGTGGGAACCTTAATGAGGCATTAGTGATTTGTAAGCGGTGTATACTGTGTCGACGATGGGAAAATAGTGTACCTTTAGGAATTTCAGTCATCAAAGCATGATTGGTTGCCTTGGTATGTTCCCCTCTCTAAAGGCCCTTTTCCTTGCAGATTCTCCAGCAGACACTAAGGAACCAGGTCTATTTTCTCCTTCGGTTTCCGAAAATTGGATTCTTCAAATTCGAGCTCTACGCCATGCCTACAAATAACAGCAAAGCCTCCATGCCTAACGTGCACAATTATCTTATTGAGGCCCACACGTGTCATCGGATGGACGGTCAGGTGATGCCTTTCCCGAAGCAGTTTATGTTCTGGAGTCGTGGTTGCTACCTAACGGCTCCGACCGAGGGCATCCTTGGGTTGGATGAAAATGGCAAGTTGAGCAAACATCCCCCTTATAGTTTGCCCTTTAACGTCAGCATACCAAAGGCCGTTGCCGTAGCCGTGGTCGTGGGCGGAAAATGGACAGAACTGGACTCCATGGGCGACTGTTGGAAGAGCAGTGTACAGATGAAACAACACTGGGGTACCGAGAAAAAGCTCACCGTCCTTGCTAAATACGCCGCCAGCGACACCGCATACAGCCCCCTCCTCGAGTACTCATTGGCAGTGTGAACGCCGACACCTATTCTCTGATTCCAGCCACTGCATCTTGTACTGCTTAAACGCAACAAGCGTCATCGTCTTCTAACCTATATTTTTATATGACTCTCAAGGCACTCTGTAACCTGTCCCCACCCCATTCCAACTTAGTCCTAATAAATAATGACGGCTTTATACATGTGTGTCCATCCCAGGTCTCTAATTTTATGCGTTTACTAGAGGGCTTGATTAATGTTATTTGCTAAAACCAGAACTGCAGGTCGCACCTACAGCTTCATCT